GGCTGGACTTGCTGCCGCTCTTGCTGCCACTTCCGCCTCCGCTGCTGCTTTTGCTATTTTGACTGCTAACTCCACCGCTCCCACCTCCTCCTCCAACTCCAGTGCTGCTGCTGTTGTTCTCGCTGATGGGACTGGGCAGGTGGTTATTGCCAGCGATTGAGGTGAACACATTCGAAAGGTTCGAGTAGTTGGGATCCTCCTCGTGATCGTGGTTGTTGGAGTTGGAGTTGTTCTTTGCCGAACTAAATAGAGCATGGCTGCTGTAGCTGTTGGGAATTGCCGACGAAGTATTTATCGTTGGCGGTGGTCCTCCGGTGGTGCTCATCGGACTGGTCAGCGTCGTCCCCGTGCCCTGAAATTGCTTGTACAGGTGGTGATAACCTCCTCCTCCTCCTCCAAAATGACTTCCGCCGTTTATTCCGTTTCCTGTACTGCTCAGCCCTCCTCCATTACCGGAAACGACCGAGCTGAGGCCGGCGATGCTCGGCTTGCCACCCCCAAGGGGAACCATCAGCTGCGACACCGGCGACTTGAGGTGCAGGAAGCTGGGCGTGTAGATGGAGGGCGAGGAGGCGGTGGAGAGCTGGTCGCGGTCGTCCAGGTGGTGATTGTTTCCACCAGGACCTTCGCGGCCCACGGCGGCCAACTGCCGCCCCTTGGGGAGGAACATGATGATGAAGATTAGGGTGGCGTTGCAGACCAGGCCAAAGGCGACGAAGCCGTCGCGGTAGTGCGGTGTGCTGGTGATCGTCCCGGCGATCCACACCAGCCAGAGGAGGATGGTGGCGGTGGCGGTGATGCCGAGGAAGAGCGCCTCGCCGTGGTTTTCGCGGTAGCCGCGGACGCGAAAGGCCATGATGGCGATGAGGACTGAAAGGGAAAACCAAGGTTACGTCGTATGTGAACAGCATTTTAGAAATCGAAATCGAAATCGAAACGCCGATCCTCTCTTACCAATCAGTATCATGACGTAGAGGAGGGAGAGCAGCAACTGGTTGACCGAGTGGTCGCACCGGTACACCGCGTGCCCGTAGCCGTCCATGTAGTCGACGACGATCGAAGAGCTCCGATGAATTAGCCACTGCCCGTCGATGGCCACCTGCGTGCTGATGATGAAGAAGAGGAGCAGGGCCTGGTACTCCGCGGAGAGGTAGACGCCCGAGTGGAGGGAGAGGAGGAAGACCGCCTTCACCAGCAGCGTCCCGTAGACGATGGCGAAGCAGACGCCCAGGCCGGCGCGGATGAGGGTGCAGGTGAGCCAGTTGGAGCTCGGGACGAAGGCGATGCCCATCACCGAGGAGAGGAAGAGGCCGAGGAGGAGCATTTGGCCGAGGAAGAGGTGGCGCCGGCTGGGGCAGGTTCTGGGGGAAAAATGGAAGGGAATGTTAAGTTTTACATTCCTTTGAGCAGTCTTTGAGCAGTCTTTGAGCCTAAAACACTGCACCTGTTTTGTTATGTTCTGTTTTGTGAGTTTCTTTTACTACTACTTTGTTTTGTTGCTATTGTCTTCCTAACTAGCTGTTAGTTTTTGTTGTTGTTTTGTTTTGTCGATTCTCACGATAGTAGTAGTGGTGTTTTTCTATTCTAGATAGACTGTCTTCTGGAGTATATCAGTCTGACTAGTTTCGGCAGCAATTACACTGTAGGAGCACCTGTCAATCAAATCTATCTGCTAGTCCTCCACAAGATGACTTTAAAGTCTTTAAACTGCCTGTTTGCTGTAAAGTGTTCATTCCCACAAGCACACATCAGTGCTCCCACTACCACCAAAGTATTTTTTTTCTTTCACAAAATCTTACCTGCAGGCTCGGTAGATGACGAAGCACTCGAAGCCGAGGATGACCATGATGTTGAGCAGCGAGAGGGCGATGATGGGCGCCACCCACTGCTCCTCCCGGAGGCTGAAGGTCACGTTGGCCAAAGCGGCGGAGAAAGCCTCCAGGCGGTCCTCGAGGTGCAGCTCGGTCGAGGATTCCTCATCCAAATCTGAACGATTCTGATCACTGCTCAGAATGCTCCGGTTAAAAGTTCGGTTGGTGCTCGGCACCGGAAAGAGGTCTATGGTGGGGTCGGCTTTGAAGGCATTTAGCTGCAGCTTTGGTTCACTTGTGGTGGTGGTAGTTGATATTTTGTTGCCGTTGACNTGACCATGATGTTGAGCAGCGAGAGGGCGATGATGGGCGCCACCCACTGCTCCTCCCGGAGGCTGAAGGTCACGTTGGCCAAAGCGGCGGAGAAAGCCTCCAGGCGGTCCTCGAGGTGCAGCTCGGTCGAGGATTCCTCATCCAAATCTGAACGATTCTGATCACTGCTCAGAATGCTCCGGTTAAAAGTTCGGTTGGTGCTCGGCACCGGAAAGAGGTCTATGGTGGGGTCGGCTTTGAAGGCATTTAGCTGCAGCTTTGGTTCACTTGTGGTGGTGGTAGTTGATATTTTGTTGCCGTTGACTCCGTTGTTGTCATTGTCAGTGCGCTTCTTGGCCACGTAGACGGGCTGCACCCAGGAGAGGTCAAATTCAGGGCGCGATGAGGAAGAGGATGAAGAAGATCGTGTGCTGTGATTTCGCTGCTGTTGTTGCTGTTGTTGTGGTCCTGAATTTCTGGGTAAGTTGTTGGAAAGTCCCTGGCTGGGTAAGCTGCTACTGTTATTATTGGCACCTTCATTTGAGGAGGTTGAAGTGGAAATGGAGGAGGAGGAAGATGAAGATAGGAAATAAGAAGAAGGCTTCGATGAGGAAAGCTCAGTTGAAGGTGAAGGTGAAGATGATGATGAAGAAAAGGAAGAGGAAGAAGAGGAAGATTGCGCCGAGAGGATGGACGCACGAGAGACGAGACTAGCGGGGAAGACTGAAGAGGCGGCGAACTGCGAAGAACGGATGCCTGACTGGCCAGAACTGCCACCAACAACTCCGATTGAAGATGATAGTGGTCGGCTGCTGATTTGGGAACTAGAACTGCTGCTGCCATTCTGCTGAAGACTGCTCACAAAGCTGGCCACCTGGTCGTCCGCCAGCTTGTCATTGGCGTAGAAGTACTCGGTGTTGGGCCGATAGGAGGCTGGGAGGTGAAGTCGCCGAGAGGCGGCCACGACGACGCCTGTTGAAGGTGAGGAGGTGGCCGTGCTCGCCGGTAATGTACTACTGGCAGGTAGTGGTCTTCGAATTGGTGGTGGTACTACTTCTCCACAAACTGTGGCTAGCAGCGGAAGTAGGAGAAAGAGTAGAAGGAGGCAATGTTTGTGTTTGAAAGGAGAACATTGTGTTCTCCTCCTTTTTGTTGACCAGAATCGGTTTTGGTGGTGGTGGTGGTGAAGAACTGCTGTTCCGGTACTGTTGCCACTTTTGCAGTGGTCAGTTCTGGTGATAAATGGTGGTAGCTCGAACATGATTCAAGGTGTGGGATTTGGTGCTCAAGATATGAATGTAGTTGTGGTGGTGAGGGTGATGGTAGTGCTGCTGGTGGTCATCAGGTGATGAGGAGCAGCCATTGATGAACGACGAGAAGATCGGATGATGAAGATGTGTTTTACTCTTCAGAGGATCGTCGTTTTGTTCCAAGAAGACCACGTCTACTGATGACGCAAACAGTCGTGCCGGCAGTGAAAGGCGTAAAGAATTTCCGCGAATCGGCGAGAATGACCATCAAGAATGAGGCCGTGCTCATAATCAACAGAAAAGTTGGTGATGGAAATGAGCAAAGAATTCTGCTGCTTACTTCAGAATCTCGGCGGTTAATCGTTTTGCCGTTTCAGTTCCAACTTCTCCGGCCTGCACAGGATATTTGATGCCGACGATAGTTCTCCACTTCTTTGTTTCCTTTACTGTAAGAAAATAGAGTAGAGAGGTTTCCTGCAAAAGAGAGAAGAAGAAAACAATCATAAGTTTTGTGGTCGTTAATTTTAATTTTGTTGTTGTCATTGCGTTGTTTATCATTTTCTAAAAAACAGCTGAGCGAACGTGCACGCAGAGCGCAAAGATCACTTTTCAGCTTATGAAAAAGAATATAACTCGTACTCAAAGCGACCTCATTTGTTTTCTCATTCTCAACACTTTCAACACTTTTCTACCCAAGATGATTCTAATGTTTTGCACAACGTTTCTCTATTCTCCAACAGAATCCTGCAACCCTCAACTCACTGCAACTCATTTCCCTTTTCTTCATTGCCGCCCTCATCATCACCATCTTCATCCCTTTACTTCTTTCGGTAAGTTTTATACTTTCTTCATTATCATTTTGCGCTTATTACTTCCTTCCTTCCTCTCGTAATCGATGGCCTACTTCTTCTTCCTTTTGACTGTTATTTGTCGCCATCAAGCTCCTTAAATTCGAGCTTTGTCCTCTATGAGTGCGAATTTATTTTTTTGTGTCGATCAACATCGACAAGATTTTCCATATATCATTGCCGGCAAAATGGAAAGTTTTTAGTTTTTGCCACACTATTAGTTAGAAAGAAAATCAGAAACAGGATATTATAAAAGATTTTCCGATTTATTATTAGCAAAAGTAGTATATTTGCACTGCACATTGTGACACTGAATGGAATTTTAAATTGACTGACTGGTAGCATTGAATGAATTCGATTCCGAACTGTTTTTATAATTTGATGGCCGATTCTTTGGCGGAATTTTCTATTTTTTTGTTGTTGATTATTTCGTAGCCATCTCTTAAAATCTCTACCAGGTTTTTTCATGTTTTGCTGTAGTGTGAGACTTGAAATGAGTGATACAAGCTGCTAAATAAATAATGCATTGGCTGGCTGGTGTCACACTGTGTAAACGTCAAACAACCAAAATCAATGTTAGGTTTTTACTTTTTGATTTTAAAGTTTGATTTTTTTAGTAGTAGTTCTACCATTTCTTTCTAGATCACTGCACACTAGATATTCTCTGTTCTAAAACTGGGAAAAGCAAAAATCAAAAGCTCACTGCCAGAAAATTGTTTCCATTTAATTTTTTCCATTTCTTTGTTTCAGTCTCAGTGTTTCAATTGTCGTGCCTTTACTATGGCCCCTCTTCTCCTCAGTTGAAACCAAAAACCGCACTAATGAATGTCAGACACGAGCTGGCGCCATTTTTTGTTGGCTGCACAGCAGCTGTGCACTGTGCCACCGTTTTTTAATAATTTAAAACACACAGCAGCAGCAGCAGAAAGCACAGAACACAGCAATCACTTCGATTACCTGCAGAAGCTCAAAGCAGAGATGTGAAACAATGCAAGCACTCTTTTGTGCGTTTAGAAAAGTCGAGGGAGCTTCAGAACAAAAAAAAATATGGAAATGGCAAATTGAAAGTGTGCATTTGATTTAAATGTGGCAGCACTTTGGAGGTGCTATTGATTGCAGCACGCACACCAAAACTTCCTCTGGAACAAGGTGGTGCCGCCAGAAAAAGAAGGAGATTTTTGGGCGCACATCTTTTCCTGTCTCACTTTCTCCTTTTTGTCCCTCACCCAGCCACCACAACCTGACTACAACTGCAATTTAAATTTTAAATGAGCAGAGCACTGCTTGTTCGGTGGTTTTTTTCCTGTGCGTGTGTTGTTTTGTCTGTCTGACTGACTGTGGTTTGGTGCTACGGTTTCTGTCGCCTGTTCAGCCCTAAAATGGATGCCATTTTTTCTCCTGCTTTTTGATCCGGTGATGGATGCGCGACAGCAACTACGATGGCGAAAATTAGCAGAGAGGAAGAGGAGGAGGAAGGAAAGGCATTGCCATTGATCTTGAATCTCGGATTTTGGTTGTGTGTGGCGGCAATTGATCAGCGCCTTTCTGTGCTCTCTCTCTCTCTCTCTCTTTCTTCGTCTCGAGACTGCGGTAATTCATTTTTGGTCTCGCTGCTAAGCTGGCCACTAGGCACATTGATGCTGCTGTTTCTGTTTGACACGGGTTGTTCCAGGATCATCACCATCATCATCCTAACATCCTAGCATCAGTGTTTCGTGCAAGCACTGCTCGTGACTCGCTTTTGGTCTCACGTCTCACGAGATCTTCTCCTGCTGCTGCTGCTGCTGCTGCTGCTGTAAATCGACAGTAGAACTGCACCACAGCACAGAGCACAGACATTACTTTGAGCAGTGATCAGTGGCTGATGATTTATGGTAATAGTGCCAGACACTACTGGGGAAGGGGAGAGAGAGAGTGTTGGGTTAAATCGGTGGTTGCGGCAGATTTACTGTTTCAGAATTACACTTGCTCCTAACTTCTTTTCTTTCTATGGACGTGTCTGTTGGTGTTTTAGTGTTTTTCTTTTTTGTGAGCGCATCATCAACATTTTTTTGCTAATTTTTTGTTCATTGCTGCTGTCCCCTCTCTCTTTCTATCTAGTCTCAGCTCAGAATATATTCTTTTTCTTCTTTTCTCCCATTCGTTCGCTCATAATTTTTCGACAGTTTTAGGCAATTTATTACGACGCTCTTTAGCGGCAGCAACATCAGCAGAATTACTTGAAAAAAAATGGATGAAACAGTGAGAGAGAAAGGAGAAGCGCAAATTAGAGATCTAGACACTGAACAGACAGAATAAAAAAGACGA